GCTTTTGACTTGTTTGATATATATTTTTATTGATAATTTATTAAATTCAGCTAAAAAAAAAAAATCACCCATGTGTACTACCCGGGATTTTTACAAAATTTCAGCCCAAAACCTTGGAGTTTACACAGGGGGTAGTATAGTCAGTAAGTTATTAGCAGTAGTAATTCATGTGACATTACACAAATTTCCAAAAAGGGAATCTTATGTAACTTATTTATTAAGGAGTTGGAAATTTGCGTAACGTGTCACAATTTAATCGTTATTATTTATACATGTATTCTAAACGTGACCGTTACACGCAAATTTTTATATTAATAGATAGATTTCTAATAATATTTTAATATTTTTAATATTTTCATATTTGGTAATTTTTCTAGTTTAATTATTAGTATATCAAAATTATTTTATTTTAAATAATATCCTATATGTATCTTCTCTGCAAATTTACTTAGAACAAAAATAAAGGATTAAAAAATACCGTTTTTTTATTAAAAATCTTTTTTTAGATATGATCGGTAAAATTGATCACGTGTCGGTGTGAAATCCAATTATATAAAAAAAAAATTTTTGAAAAACCCACACTTGCAAATTTCTCTTTTTTTGTTCTATATTACTTAAGAAACAAAAAGATGAAAATTCAAGGCATTATTGTAGGTAAAAAAAGAGTTTAAAATTAACTGAACTGATTGCAAATTGATTATACTAAACTATTACATATATTTAATAAAAGTAGTAATCGAAGAATCTTATGACGCAAATTTGAAATCTCAGCACGAACATTCCTTAAAATTTAAAAAAGTGATATCTTCTCTCTCATGAACTAGTAGTGCGTTGACTAATTGAAACAATATTGATATTGCTTTAAATCTTAAAGAAATTGACGGAAGGGTAATTATTTTAAAGGTATTGTTATATTTAAATATTATAAATGGGAATTAAAACGATCACCTCACCAAAATAAAATAAAAAAAAATTTACTGGTAAGAATAATTATTAAATTAAAAATGATTTGATTTTTTTTTTTCCATCAAAAAAATCAATAATATTTATTTTTTTTTTTTTGTATTTATTCTCAGGCAAATGAACTAATATATTCTGCGATTTAAAATGATACTGCAATTCGCAGATGTTAGACAAATATTTACATGAAGCGACATGATTTGGTTCTTTTAAATTTTGTTGTATTTTAATAATAATAAAACAAAAATCTTTATTTATTATTGATTGCAAGGGAGAAAACAAATGATGTAGCAACAGATGCTCATGAATAAGAATTATAAATCTGAAATGGAAGCGGTAAAAAGATTTATAGAAAAATAAGAGTTGAATGAAGAATTAAAGGAAGAATAGTAGTTATGCAAACATATATTTTATATTGATCACGCGTAAAATCATGAATTCTACTTTCACTACTTAAATAATGGAATGTTAACTTAAAAAGCGACGACGTAAGAGATTCTGTAAAATTAGCAATAAAAGCTTGGCCAACCTAAAAAAAAATAGAATTTGAAGATCGACAAATAAAAGTCTGATCAACCAATCAGAAATTCAGTAATCGCGATATAAAAGTTGGATCATTTTCCAAGTCTTTTACGCGACTTTTCCTTTTCTTTCTACATTTAAGAAAAACGCTTTTAGCTTTTCGTGGCAAAAACGACAACAAAATGAATACAGGAGGGCATAGACCTATTACCCGTTCTATGACACGTGCCTCACGTTCTCAACCTAATAATAATATTCAACAATTACCGACGGTGACTCGTTCTAGACGTGGACGAAAACCGACAAATACTTCAGTAAGATTCGAAAATATCCAACAGGTTGAACATGCTGAACAAGTAAACGAGCAACCTGCGGAAGAAAATAGAGTTGAGGACATGATTGCTGAACCTTATATAACCTCAACAGAAGAGCAGCCTGAACCTGAAACTATTAATGTAACAACTAGTCCGGAGCGTGTTCCTAGACAATCAGTAGTCGTAGAAGATAATATCACAGCAGATCAAGCATCGGATAACAATCAAAGAAGAAATGACAGGATATTGCAAGAAAATCCTGGGCGCTTAAATCGAGTGTTATTAATACAATTAGAAACTAATGAAGTTCCTGCTAGAACTGATACAGGGGCAGCTCCTATAAGCAGTGGTAAAAAGAGAAAGGTTGATGCTGAAAACGATGATCTGGAAGCCAAACGGGTAAAAAAAAAAAAAAAATCCAAGAAAGTTAGAAAGTTTGGGAAAAATGGGAAAGCTAAAGAGAAACGCAAAGCTCGTATTAAACAGATCTGTCCAAAAGTGAGCAATTTAAATAGTTAATATATTTAATATCATTGGTTCTAATTTATTGTTTTATCATTACAGAAAATTCAAATACGCATTGAACGCGCTGAAACACAAAAAATGTACTTGATTTCCCGCACTATAATTAGTCAACTTCAACAAAACTTCATTATCCTGGGGCCAACTGGCGTTGTAAGGTTTATTATGAAATTTTTTTCAAAAGGATCATTTGTTTTATCGATTAACCTCTATTGAATTTTTATTACCAGGTTTATACTGTTGTAATTTCACATGTGCCAAATTGCACTTGCATAGACTTCAAAACCTTCAAACCTTGTAAACATATTGTACATATAATTTAGAAGAAGCATGAATGAGTTTTATCTTTTTAAAAACTTACTAATACTTCAACATTTATAACTTTAGCTTTTTGTTTACCTTAAAATTTTGAGCTTGCCACGAGACAGCAAAGACATATTTCAAGTTGCGCATTTAACTAAAGAACTTCATGTAATCTTTTCAAAAACAAAGAGAATGCTCGATCCAAGATTAATGGTAAGGTAACCTTGTGATTAAATGTTTTTTAAGATTATTTAAATTAACGTTTAATTAAACATCTTATTTAATAGGCTAGCTATAGAATTCGTAGACGATATAGAGCGTACACTACAGGAGCAGTTTGTCAAAAACGCCGGCCGATTGAAGGAGGAGATTGCGCTATCTGGTATATTATTATTATGCTTTTTGAGATTATCTCTTGGAATAGAAGCAGGCTATTTGACGTTTTTTAATTCAATAATATAATAATAGTTATGAAAAGTTTGATGAAAATGACGATAAAATCGTCTGGTGTCAAAAAGGATGCGGCAACAACCTTCACAAAGCCTGCTACGATCAATGGAAGAGAACAAGAAATGGAACTGTAAGCAATACTCCTATATTGAACTAATATTAGTACTGGTATTTTTTTATTCATATGATCTATCTTTTATCTAGGTTACTTGTGTTTATTGTCGTGACATGTGGTTGGAAGATTCTACGAAATTTTCAATAAACAAAGAAGGATTTGTGCAATTTGGAAACTTGGGACCTATATAAGGAAAGAGAAATATATAGTACTTCTAAATTTTCATCAAAAGAATCATTTTAATAATGTTATGCGATTGAGAAATACTAGATTGCTTAATTATATATATTTAGTTTAGGTAAAAATGATTGCTATATCATTTGCTTTTATATTATTTTTTTTTTATATACAATAAAATTTTCGAACTTTGTGAACTTGTAACATTTATGTTCAATCGAAATATCTTTAAATTTGTTAAGTTTTAATATAGGGGTTGAAAAAAATATAAAATTTCTGACCATGCCATCGAACAAGTGTTAAAAAATTTTATCACTTTTTTGGGGGGTTGTTTATTGATTCCTAATAATAAAAGTCTATTTTCATGATTATTATTGATCACTAAGCATAACATTGGTATACCAAAAAACCTCTTAATAGTTGTCTAGTAAGCCCCAAATGAAATTACAATACGTTTATCATCAAAATCAATTACCCGGATTATCCTCAGCCTTAGCAACGATCCGCCTAGATGTTTTAATATAGAGTTGATTCCCCAATCAATATCTGACGCGAGGACAAAAGAGCTTTTAAATCCATCAATGAACTTCGGAATGAAACCAATGTCAAAAATAGCAATCAGAAAAGTGTTGCTGGTTCAGGATAACGTTACAAAACTCCGTTGAACGCTCGATACCATCATCAATTCTTGATTATGCTCCGTAGGTATAAATGTACATCAATGGCAAAAGTTATTGCACAGATTGGTATGATAAAGATTTGCCGTGACCTTCAAGCAACCAATTATATTTAAGACTTGATTCGAGACGGTTCGAAAAGAGCGACTCCGAGTCGATTATAAATTCAGCATATTCTGGGTTTCCCTGAGTTACAAACCCATTTTTAACCAATTTTAAAAATCGAACCGGAACCGATTCCGGACCGGTTCCAAGAATCGGCTCAAAATCGGATTGTCATCAAATTAAAGGTAATAATAATAGGACGAATTTGTTTGATAACCAGTCAAAAATTTTTTTTAAATTGATCATCACATGATGTTCTATTAGTATAAATTTAACTTAACGCTCAAAGTTTAATTTACTTAAGAAGAGTCGAAGTAGAACCGAAGAGGAACCGAAATGGAACCGATAGAACCGTCCCCATCCCTAAGTACACATAATTCAGGGCAGACGACTTAATTTCGATGAAGAAGAAACAGAAGAATTTAATGGGATGACCGCACGAGAAAGAAGAAGATTTAACGCCCAGCCAGACGACAATTCAAAAATTGCATATTTCGAGCATTCGTAGACAAAGAAAAATCTTGGCGAGAAAAATCGGTATGTTTAGCTTAAAAGAAACATATTTATTTTGTTAGAATATTTTACTAAAACTATTTTAGCGCCTTCGTCGTTTCTTAACATACCTTTTCGTTAGGACAATGGTCAAAAACTAGTTGGCTGTGGTCTCAACGTAGCTGCCCTATCTGTACCTATTATTCTTGCTTCGACTTTATACAAAAATGACGAAGGAAAACTAAAAATTTTTTCATTAGTGTTGAAATTAGCTGATTTTTAGGATTTTTCATGTATTAATAAATTGCGATAGAGTAATATTGATTATCGTTATATTATTCTTATATGATTTTCTAATAATCGTAGGGATATTACTACCCATACTTTAACAGATATTTATCAATTTTTTTACCAGCAACGGTCTGTGTATTTCTAGCGAAGTTTTGTTTCAATGGCTCAAATTTAAGTATTATTAATTTTTTTAACAATAGCTAATTATTTGTACTAGGCTAGATCTACGTTTCTGATTATGCTATATAATAAAAAATAAAAAAAAAAGTACTTATTTTTTCCTAACGAAAGATTTCCAAACCAAATAAATTACGAAATATCAAGAAATTGCATGAGACTTATTATAAGAGTCTAATGATTCATCTGCCGAATCTGAGGTAAGGGTATCAACCGCACCTATCCCCTTATGACGAGGATAATGATGGTGAAACATACATACTATGATGATGGGCAAACGACTGGGATGCTTCATAGTATACTCGGATAATGACGGGGGGCAATTACTTAAATTTTAGGTACCCGGTTAATTATCTGTTATAAAAAAAAATTCCTGATTTTTAAAAAAAAAACCTTAAAGTTATCCGGCATATTTTTAAATTTCGGATTTATATAAATTTATCAAAAAATATAAATTTAATATTATATCCATTTAAACCTTTATTTATAAAAAAAATAAATCAAAATCTTCTATTTGTATATGGTCCGGTGCAAAACGATTTGTACTACTCCAAAAAAAACACCAATAAAAAATTTTATTAAACAATTTTTTTTTTTAATAATTCAATACGTAATATAAAAATCAAATCAAATCACGTGAGCATCATCAAAACTATAGCTTCCCCAGATCTTCCCCAGCAACACCATCAAAAAAGGCTCAGACACGTGAGTTGGTTCATGACACAGTTGTGGCAACTCTGAGCTTATTTAAACTTTATATATGATATGATCTGAGCTAATGTATTTTGTATTGTATCTTTTTTTTCATATTCAATTTTATTTTTATTAACTAAAGAATATAATACATTAATAAAAACAAAATATAAATATGGTATCCTCATTAAATAATTATTGCAAAGGCTATAAATCTTTAAAGCTATCATCTGAGTTTATAACTTATGGATCTAATGGTATTAAGCAACTCAAAACTTGCAATAATTGTTATCAAAGATTTGAGAAAAAATGAAAAATTCTTATAAAACGTCAACTTACTAATATCTTAGAAGTTGTTAATATTGATTTTTTAAGCAAGATAATTATAAATCTTTTAGATAATATATTATCTAACAATCAAGAATTATATTTATACTTTCAGGTGAATATTAATTCAACTAATAAAATTTCAAATAAGAAATTTGCAAATAAGATTATTGAATTAATTGAAGATGTAGATGAATATCACTAAAATTACAATTATTAATACAAAGATAAGAACAATACCATATATTGATATTTCTGCTTCTAAAGAGATATTTTAGCATCTAAACTATGCAAAAATCCCAATTTATTTAAACAATAAACACTTTATCTATCAAAAGATTTGCTTATTTTAGTTTTATAAAAATATCTATTGATAAACTACACAGAATTCTAAAGTAAAAGTTTTTTATAAGAATCTGCATACAAGATTAGTTAGTAAATCTGTATCAAAAATGTTAAAGATTTTATAAAGAACAATATAAATCTTTCAAAAAAAATATATAAATATCCTTATTAATAATAATCTTAATATATCAATAAAATAAAATCAGATTCACTTTTAGTAGTTAGAGTTAAGATAAGAATAATATAAATATTACAAAGATGTATTTGAATCTATACATATTTAGCTATTAGAAAATAATTATAATATTATTAACAAAAAATAGAACTAGTTTATGCATTAGCATTTAAAACAGGTATTCTTAAACAAATGAAGAATATAGGAATTTATATTAATGAATATGAAATAGATATTACTTATAATACTAATAATATAAAATTTGAATTATACTGTTCATTATTTTATCTATTTTTGAAAATAATGGTAAATATAAGAAAAAAATACGAATAGGTATATTGCAAATATTTCTTACTATTTTTTGAGATAAAGAAGTATAACCTTTTATTTATAAATAAAGATTATACATAAATCAATACAATATAATTTACATAGAAGAGTACTAAGATTCAGTTATATAAATGATATGTTAAAAGATCTATAACAATTAGACTATTAAGCAATAAAACTACTAGGTTTAATTTTAATTCACTTTCAAAAATTGGAAGAAGATTTTTTTTAATAGTATTCAACAAATATCTCATTTTTGTTCTAAAGAATTAAAAAAATAATTATAAACTTTAATGGAAAAACATTTGCATTAGTATTCACTAATTTCAATAAAAGGAGTATTTTTGAATAAAATAAATATTTATAAAATATCTATTTAGAAAATATATACATTTTATTATATTATTTCATTAATTTTACTTTAGATATATTTGTAAAATAGAATGATATAGTAAATCAAAATAGTTATTATAGGCATGTTTACCTTGTAAAAATATAGTTTCTGTATTAAAAATGATCAAATTTATTAAAAAACATTGAAAAACTATTAAAAGAGATTTTTTTAAATAAGTTTTTCTATTTAAAAATAGATCCTATCATATATATTTTAATGAAAAATATTATTTATTCATAAATAATGAAAATTTTATAGATCAATTTAAAAAGCGTAAAGTTAAATTAAATCAAAGATTTTAAATTTGAATGAAAAATTTTATTTAATATACCTATTACAAGAACTTATATAACTGACATAGAAAATTAGTTTTGTAAATGTTCTTACTATTTAACTAATTATTTTAGTTTGTATAAGTATTTGGATTAGCAAAAAGAAATTGTAATGATTGAATTTTTTACAAATATAAAATAAAACTGCTAACTTCTATTTTTAGTTGTAAATAATCTATTACTATATATAAATATAAATAATAAGCAAAAATTTTACAAAGATCCATAAGTAATAGATGAATTAAATAAAAATAACAAGTTATTTAATAATTTAATTAATATTATAAATAAAGCTCTCTATCTTTTAGAAGAATAAAAACTAACAGGTAATATTAAATAATGTAAAATTTTTATAAAGAAATCATTTAATCCTATTACAAAATTAGTCAAGAATGTTGAATAATATCAAATAAAGTAGACTATATCATTAATATAAAAAGATCATACTGATAACACTTGCTATTTACAATAAATAACTTTTAAATTATTTAATTTGTAATATTTTATTGGCAAGAAATTTAATTAAAATTTATTTATTAAAAATTGTGCAAAAATATATGTTAATTTTAACTAATTTGTATAAATAAAATATTGCAATTAATTAATTAATGTATTTTATAGATGCATTAATTAATTAATAGTGGTTTTTTAGAGCTACAGAAGGTGGACAAAAGTTTCTGAACACTTTTTTACCAAATAAAAAGCTTATAATTCTTTAGCATTAATAGTAAAAATTCTAATATTATTTTATTTAGAGCTAATTAAGACATACATTTCATATTAAACTTTAGTACTTGGTTAGACCTTCCTTTGCCACAATCACAGCTTGAATTCGCTGTAACATGCTATTGACTAAATTTTCAATAGTATGTATTGGAATTTCTCGCCATGCCTTTTTAACATAGCAGTTGAGGTCAGCAAGATTCGATGGTATTTTTTTTAATATTATCCTATAAATTTTCAATTGGGTTAAGATCAGGACATTAGGCTGGTCAAGTAAAATATGAATCTGTGTTATTCTTTGGTTAATTCTTATTTTGTCCCATTATTTTTCGATTTAGTAGAGATTAAGTAAATTAAGTCAAAACAAACAAAAATAACACAAATTTTTTTATTTTGATTATGTAAATAAATAATAGACAGTTATATAACCACAGTATAGTATCACAATTATATGATGAAAATTTATTAAATCGCATTTATAAAAGTGTTCAGAACTTTTGTCCATCCTCTATAACAGCAAAGAAAAAGCTAAAATAAAAGTTTAAATTATTAATAATCAAAGATGCAAACATCATGAAAAATTTTATATAATGTAAAAACTATAGATGAGAGATGAAACTCCTTAATAATAGTCAAAACTTAGACGAAACTATATTAAAATCATAATAAGGAATACAACAAAATCCATTCAATATGACGAAAGTCAAAACTATCAAAACTATATTAAAAATATAGAAAAGGGTATGACTAAATTATTTTGAGGAGGTTTTGGCAGGCATCTATAGTAAAAACATAAATAAATCAGCATATTAGCTATATTTAAATTGGGCTTTGAAGTTATTAACTATAGATAAATCATATGTTTAAGTTTTTTTAATAGTATTGTTAAGGAATTTTTCTTTAATATTATCACTAAATTATTTATTTTTATGAGATTATAGAAATATTAATCATTATGTATTACAATTTTTGCATTTTTATTTTTATAAGTATTCTGAGAACTTAAAATTTTTAGTGATATAAAATTATATTTGTCACTTTTATTCATTATAAGCGTCAAAATCTATAATTTACAAATGTATGACATTTTAAGAGTTTGATAGCTTTAACAAGAGCTGTATCTTTCTGAACTATTTTTGCCACTCATCTTTAAGAGGATTTATTTTACAAATTATTTTATTTATCTAAGAATCTAATTTTAATTTATTCCATTCATTCTAGTTCATCTG